ACCAGAGGAATTGCCCAAGAACTGCAGCCTTTGTGGCCTTGTTTACTTATTAATTTAATCCACACCCTGGGCTACATATTGTCAGCTGGTGATGACACTCACTAGAACTTGGTTTTTGAAGGGGAGTGGTCTAAATGTTTCTCTCTAGCCAGGGTGGTCTAAATGTTTCTTAGCATAATTCTGCCTTGTGCTGTGTTCTGCTGGGACAGAGTAGCTCTGGGTTTCAATGCAAACTCTCACAGTGTTTCACTCTCCCTCTCTGGGCACACCAATCCTCTCTACATGAATGTCTCTACTGGATGTACTGGCATGGTACCCCTGGATGGGGAAGGAAGGCATAGGCAAATGCAAGATTACCCTTTCTGCCCTCTTCAGTGCCTCTTTCCTTGATATAACATTAGAATAAGGTAGCATGAGAGCTCATTGGATTGTCGGTTCTGCAGGTGTTTGCTTGCATAGATTGTTGAATTTGGTGTTCTTGTGGAGGGAGAACCTCCACAGGGTCTATAACCCATGTGCTCCACCTCCTCTCTGCAGTGATTAGGCTTTAAAGTAAATTGTTTTAACTAAAATTTGTGATTAAAAATTTTTTTTTATGTTAGCAATATGTCTTCCTCGTAACCATAACTCTTAATTTTAGATGGGCTTTGGTAAAAGAATGCGGGTGGAGTTTAAATTCTGAGATGGGCACTTATTAACTATGTGACTTTGGGTAAATTACCAAACAACTCTGAGAACACATTTCTTTATCTGTTAGTTTGGGATAATATCATCTAATTTGCTAAGTTGATTGTAAATTCATAAAGGTAATGTACGTAAAGTGTCAGGGAAATGTTAGTACTCATTTTTGATTCTTGTCCTCATTCTATGTTGATTATTTTAAATTTCATCATAATTTATATATATATATATATATACACATATATATACAAGTTTTATATATTATACATATAAAATATAAACATACACACACATATATATATACATAAAAACCTCCAACAATGTTCACAACCTGGTCCCTCAAACCTGTAAATATGCTATTTTACATGATACAAGAGCATTTGCAGACATGATTTTGGTTAAGGACCTTAAAATGAAAAGATTGTTCTAGGATTGTCTAGGTGGGTGCAGTATAATCATAGCAATGCTTAAAAGCAAGGAACATTTCCCTGTTAAGTCAAAGAGACAGATGTGGGGATAGTGAAAAGCTTACAGAGTTACAACATAGGTGACTTTGAAGATAAAAGAAGGGACCATGGGCCAAGGAATGCAGACAACATCCCCAAGCTAAGAAATACATTGGGATGGGGCAGTGCCTGTGGCTCAAGGAGTAGGGCCCCAGCCTCATATGCTAGAGTTGGGGGGTTCAAACCCAGCCCCAACCAAAAAATGCAATAACAAAAAAAACCCCACATTGGGATGGATTCTGCTTCAGAGCATTCCAAAAGAAACACAACTCTGCCAAAACGTTGATTTTAGCCCAGTGAGAATGAACTTCTGACCTACAGAATTATAAAATATTAAATCTGTGGGGTTTTAAGCCACTATGCTTGCTGCAGTCAGTAATGTCAGAAATGGAAAAATTTATACATAGTACATATTTTTATTGATATAATTAACACATTTTATGGAAGCAAAAGTTAATGATGAATTTGAAAATGAGGACACAAGGAGCTATTTGGAGATAGAAGGGTAAGAGTCCAGAGACTACCTACATTCTTTGTTTCAGGTAACTTTGTACTTGTGAACTTCCCCCGTTAAGGGGTCTCTCCCCACATGGACAGAGACCTGCATGGGGACTTGACCTTTGAATTTCCTTTTCGTCTGTTTCACGGATGTCTTCATAATCTTCTGCCTGCCTCAGCAGAGGGAGATGTGATACGTTGCAACCTGGGAATGGAGCCATGGCACAGTGGACTGAGAGTTTCTCTATGCAGGAAATTTACTCAACCATCCGGGGTCTGGCAGACAAAGGGAGAGAAGACACTTCGAAAATTGTACACACACCAGTGCTTTGACCCATGAGAGATGATACCATATTAGACTCTAGCAAGGCTAACAGTCCCCTCTTGAGCAGAATGTGTGAGATTTTTTATTAGGAATTTGGGGGCATACATACACAAAGCAAAAAGTGAGAAGGTAATGGTTTCAATTAAATAGGCCGTCCTTTGTTCAAGGAAGAAAGCTATCAGGCTGAAGGACACAGGAGTGCTAAACACAGACCAAAGAATATTGGGGTAGGATTTAATGAGGCAATGTTACAGTTCACAGGTTAGGTAGTTAGTTATCTGGGGTTTTTTTTTAAGCTTTATTTATATTGTCTTTAAGTTCCTAATTATTATCTAAACATTTCCCAGAGTATTTTTTCCCTACTTTAGTGGATAATCTAACCCCCGCCACCCCACCTCAGATGTGAACTGCAGCAGAGGGGCTGAGATTGGGCTGTTTTTCTGTATGAGTCCTCTGGGACATCAGTTCTTACCCATGGAGATGTTAAGAGATTTTAAGGTATTTTCTTCATATAATACCAGAGCATGAGGTAGTAGCCTTGGCATATACTTTCAGTCATATATATGTGTGTGTGTGTATGTGTGTGTGTGTGTATATGGTGTGTGTGTGTGTATATATATATGTGTGTGTGTGTGTGTATATATGGTGTGTGTGTATATATATGTGTGTGTGTGTGTGTGTGTATGTGTGTTTGTGTATATATATGGTGTGTGTATATATATATGGTATGTGTGTGTGTATATATATGTGTGTGTGTATATGTATATATGTGTGTGTGTGTATATGTGTGTGTGTGTATATATATGGTATGTGTATATATATGATGTGTGTGTGTGTGTGTGTGCACATATACATGAGTAGAAAACAGTAATTGGCCTTCCTTCCTACTTGAGTAAAAGGCTGGTAAGAGGAATGTGGCAGTGAAGAGGCTCAGGATGAGGAGAGGAAGGTGAGCTATTAGTAAATTCTGGTGGCTGATGTCCTCTGGACAGCTTCTTGTCCATCCTGTCAGGAATGTTCCTAGGTTGCATATCCTCCTTTGTCACCGTTCACCCCTGCTCACAAAAATAAACCTCAAAACTTCTATGATATTTTGTGAAGAAGGTTCTGCAGCAGGGGTCCTCAAACTTTTTAAACAGGGGGCCAGTTCACTGTCCCTCAGACCGGACTGCAGGCCCTGGGATGAGTTGGCTGCTAAGCAGGACAGGCAGTGGTGGCAATAACACCCGGCGGGCCAGCTAAATGTCCTAGGTGGGCCACATGTGGTCCGCAGGCCGTAGTTTGAGGACGCCTGCTCTGCAGAGCCAGTGCATACTCAACTGAGTGAGCTCATGTAATAAAAGCTTGAAAATATTTGTAAATCAAATAAATGTATAGATTGCATAAATTTTCATTTAAAGGAGAGAGCTTTCAGAGAGCCACGAGACTAAACAAAAGTTTGTTTTATTCTCCCAAATTGTGCCTTTTACATATTGCATTTATAAAGTCTGTTTTTTTCCTTAAAAATATCAGTTTGATGATTTTTATGACTTTAGAAACTAATTTAAAAGTATAATATTTTTATTGTAGAAGAAAATCCTGCTTTCAGGGGCCGAGACTCTAGGTATCAATGGCAGCATTCCATTTTCCCTTCTCCATTAGCAGCCCCTGTGCTTCTGGCAAACAGAGCATCTTGCAAGAGATTAAACCACTGCTCAAAAACTCTTTGAAGTCTCACAAGGGTTTTGGTTTCTAGTAGAATCAGTATCTACCATATCATGTATTAGAAAATGGTTATAATAGCACGTTCAGATTTCTTTAAAGGGCCATATTCTGTAGTTATTTCTTTTGTTTCTGGTTGACGAAAAACGAGTTTATTATTAATGCTGCATTCACACGTGACAACACATATAATTATTTTCATGGACTTGGTCATTTAATTGTTTCAAGTAAAAAATCATCTCCATAAACATGTTTGCTCATAACATTAAATATTAAACACCCTCCTGATTTCCTGAGTTAACTATTTTGGCTTTCTTTTGATAGTATTTCTGATACTCACTTCTCTGTAAGATGTATGACTAGAATTTCGGTATGATTTGTAACACAATTATAAAATATTTTAAACATGCAGAAAGGTATAGTTGTCTAATGAGATTCAGCGTGCCTGCAACTCATTTATAACAACTCCCAATTCTGCCTTATTTTGCTTCCCTTTTTCAAAATTAGAAAACCATTTCAGACTGGGCAGGCATCACTCATGGATTAGGGTGTAGGCCATATGCTTAGGGGCTGGTGGGTTCGATTGTAGCCTGGGCTTGCTAAACAAAAAAACAAAAAAGAAAGAAAGAATTCAGATATAAGTGTGAGGTATCTATCCTTGATCACATAACTGCCTTATATTTATGGAGGTGACCATTATTCTGAAATTACTGTTTATTATTCCCATGAATTTTTTTTTTTTTACTTTTCTATGTAGGGTGTATCTGTAATTATGAACAGAATTGCTATGAAGATTTTTTACAGTATATAAAAGATCACTACCTACATACGATTCTGGAAATTGGTTCTTTTACTTGTATTGTTCAATTGATATTAACCCATGTTAACAGATGACACTTTGATTCAATCATTTTATCTTTAGATTGCATTGTATATCAGTAGGTACATTTGCAAGATTTTATCCCTTCTCCTGAAAGAGATAATCTACTCTAAATTTTTCAATATTGCAATGATGTAGTTCTTAGAAATATCTCCTTGTATATATGTATGAGAATTCCCTGTAGAGAGTTTACACAAATGGAAATGCAGGATAGTACAGTTTGTCCATCCTGAAATTTACAGAACATTGTGAAATTGCTTTTCCAAAGAAAGGGTATTGATTTGTACTCCTAACCCGCAGGGTTTGAGAATTCCAGTCTTTCATAGTCTCATAGACACTTGATATTTACAAACTTTTAAAATTTCTGTTTAACGGTTAGGAATGGCATCTTATAAAAAAATAAGAACTAGGGGTGTGCTCAGAGCAGGGACCTGAAGAATGGCTCCTCTGTTTATAACCCACCCAGCAGGAATCTGAGGTCACTGTGATGAGAGGCACAAAACTTGTGGCCTCCCTAAGAATAATTCCCTACGTGTAAAGAAAAAGAAAAAAATGATAAAAGGTTTGTGGTGCCCATATGGTTTATCACTGTATAATTCTTTCTACTGTACTGTATGTTTTTTAAAAATTGCTAATAAAATATTAGAAAGTTAAAAAAAGAAAATATGGAGAAATCCAAATAAGTGTGGATTTTAGTTAACAGTTCAAAGAAAAAAAAGAAAGAATAGTAAGAACTAGACAGAAATTGACCACCTTCAGAAAAAGTTTAATTTTCATATTTTTATCAATACTAAAGTGTAGCCAAGATGGTAAACAACTCATCTAACTTTATAGATTTCATTAACAGCAGAAGTAAGATGAGAAGAGACACTTGCCTTGAATTCAGAATTTACTTTGGGCTTTCATATATTTCAATAATATAATGTATATTTGACAGATGTATGATGAGAAAATATTTGTAGAAAAACACAAACACTTTTAAGAATCTTATTCCATATGTTTATTTATGTATTTCTCCCTCCCTATTTTTAAAACCTTAACAGATCCTGAGCCTTTCAAATAATGATTAAATGTTCATAATCCTGAATAATCAGCTGGATTTGATTTGGCACCTTTTTTTTTTTTTTTTTTTTTTTTTTTGTGGAATCGAAAATTCCACAGTTTATTCTGAAGTTCACTTCTGGCTCAGGAGGGCAGCCAGTACAGAAACCCTCCCTGCTACCACCCCAACCCTCATGGGAAGCTGTCTTGCCAGGCCACTGGAGACACTTGCATTCCTGGGGAGACGGTGGTGCTACAGTTTGGGTGTTGTTTTGCAGGGATAAGGAAATACATTCAATCAAACAGTTCTTATTTCTGGAAGTCTTGCAAAGGCTGGGCTGTGACGTCCTTTTCCTGGGTGCTCTAAGAGCTGGACCCACGACCCCGGTGGTTTCTGCAAGGACCAGCGTGAGTTCCTGGAGCTTTGGACTTAGGAAGTGACAGTGGGTTAATGGAACTTGCTCAATTTTCCGTCAGAAACTGGCAGAAAAAGGTGGACAGTGCCCCTCTCTTTTGTGGTCATCCCAAACACCCAGAAATCACCAGAGCTCTGCATGTTCTGGGTCAGCGTGGGAGTTGGGAAGGAAGGGCTGCCATGGTTAAAGGCTACTGATGTTTCTGTTGACAGGTGGGGGCAGTGGGGGCTCACAGAGAGCAGGATGTGGCCTCCTTTGCTCAGGCCCTTATCTAAGCTCCCAGGTCCAGAGCAGACAGTGTTCATGGGTTTTAGTCCCAAAGCCCTTAGGCCACACAGACCATGGGTGCCATAAAAGTTGGCAGCACCTGCAGAATGGCCTGTTCCAGAAGAAGCAGAGATGCCACAGCAGGCAGAGGAGCCTGTGAGGGCAGATCCATGCCTGCATCACTCACAGGAAAGGAGATGTTGGTCCAGAGAGGGAGGTGCTAACTATGGGCTAAGAAAATCTCTTTTAAAAAGATATCTTTCTGGGCACAATGGCTCACACCTATAATCCAGCAGCTGGGAGACCAAGGTGGGAGGACTGTTTAAGGCCAGGAGTTTGAGACCAGCCTGGGCAATATAGCCAGACCCTGTATCAAAAATAAAATCTCAAAGATCATCAATGAAATTATATAAAAGCTGGATTATTTATGGGACACAAAGGGTCATTAGGAACTGACTCAAACTCTGGAAGGGGACCTTCCTAGTAGTCCAGGAAACCCCAAATTGAGTAGTGCACTTTGGAGGAATGGAGGACACAGCAGTGGGTCAGGAAGAGAAGGGGATGAGCGGGCCCATGTCTACCTCTGTGTGAGCACAGCAGTGGCTCTGGTGGGTGCTGCAAGGATGTGGGTTTCAGAGGTCAGTGGAGGTATATTTTTGCCCTTGGTTGGCCTGGGAGCAGCCATCCTCTCTCCTCCCAGTCTACCCAGGTGGGGAAGGTTGAGCCAAGCTTCTGGCTGTACCTGGGAGATGGCCTAGGCAGGACCAAGGCCATGGGTAGCACCTGACTATCCTGAGTTGGCTTCAAGTGAGGTCCAGGTGGGGTTGGGGTAGGAGGTCAAAATGGGGATAGAACTTCCCAGGAGGCTGGCAGCCATCAAATTGTTGGATATCACCTGTTAGTCTTTTGGAATAATAAATTTAGGACAGGTATTATTCTGGAGAGAATAACACAAAAATATGGCATTGCTTTTGATCTTTAATTCCATTTTACATAACATTGAACAATAGATGTCACTGTTTTTCCAATAAAAATAACTATGAAATTATTTTATTTGATTATTTTTCAAAAATAATTCATTATTTTTCAAAAATTTCATAAACAGGTGTTGTGCTGAACAGATAAATTACAAGGTTCTGGTAGAAAAATCTCAAACATTGGTTGTTTCTTTTAAATATTAATATATGTTGGCATTTTCCTTAAGGAATGAATTAATATACTCAATCCATGACTTTCTGAATCATTTTAAATATACCCAATCCTATCAATTTTATGCCTTTATATTAATGTTTTAGCAATTAGGTGTCCTTATAAGAAAAGCGAAAATGAGATTATTTGAGGACTAGCATCTCAGGTCATGAAAAGAAGCCTCTCAGAGAATAATTATTTATATTTTAAGTCCACATAATGTCTAGTAAGTTGACTTGATTGACAGAGAATCTATGAAAAATGGAAATCAGGGATATGGAAGTCGAGAAGGAAGATCTATTGAAAATAATGCAATTGGGGCAGATTCTGAGGAACAGTGCAGTGATATTAATAGGATGTGTTCCAAACCTTGTGATTGGAGTCAAGGACACATACAAATTTATATCAATTTTGACTAAGCAAATCAGAGTCCTTCACGAAGCTGAGGTCAAGTTGGCAAGGTGTTGGCAGTAGGAATTGGCCCTTAGAGAAACAGTGGGAAGTATTGGGAGGTTGTTTAGTGACAGTGAACCTGAGGCATGGAGAAAAATTAGGATCCAGAATAGGAGATTATTAAGGAAGTTTAACATCTGTTTCTTTAAGTTCCTCATTGATTGTAACATGCCACAGCTAAAGCCCTAGCTGTGTGGGCTTGATAACTGAGAAAAGAAAATGAATTTGGAAAGTTTGGCAAATGAGATACAGTCACTGAATCTAACAAGCTGTATATCCTCATTGTATCTGTAAATATGTGTAGATAACGGTGTAGGATTTTGAAGCACTTTCACACTCATTATCAGGCTAATGTCTAACTCCCCAATCCACTGGAAATCTGACTTCTGAACCAACCATTTCACTCACGCTGATCTCTCAAAGATTGAGTGGCCTACAAATTATCAAAACCACTGACTTACTCTCAAGTCTTTGTTCTACTTGAACCCTGCTTTTAATATTTTTCTCACATAGTTTTTACTCTCTCTCCTTTCGATTCTCTTGCTTTCTGTACCCACTGTTCTTTTTTCTTCCCCTGGTTTTTCCTTCTACATTTCCAGTAATTTTTTTTCTATTCTGTCCCTTCATTGTTTCTGCTCCTGCCCCTGTTGCCTGTGAATACTTGTCTGAGCGACTGTGTTAGTGAAGACTATTTGAGCCACCTTATGTACAAGTCTTCCTTCAACAAGTGTTTGCTTCCCCTAGGTACTAGGTGCTACTGTAGATGCTGAGAACATAGAAATCAGTAAGTGTAACATGGTCTCTTCCCTCAGTACTTTAGTTCTTATGGTGAAAAATACACAGGAAGAAATCTGTTGAATTACTGACGGATGTATCTGTTCCTCCCCCAGTGTTGTCATCACTCTTCACACACAGTTTCTTGTATGCAAAGCGCTATCCTAGCAGCTAGGAAATTATAGGAGCATGCCTTTGAGCGAAGGGTCATTCACAGAAATTCCAGGGAAAATAAATGTGTCAGCATTCTATTTTTGAGTGTTAAAACAGACTTTTGGAATTGCCCATTGGTCTTGAGAGTAAAGGCTTTTAGAAGTGCAAGAGGGTGGGTTTTAGTTTTCCTGAAATATAGTCCCGTAAGATTCTTGCCATATATAAGCAATTTTGTTTTTTCCGCCTTCCTGTCCGAATAGATGGTGATGGTTAGGGACTGGGAGAGAACAAAAGAAGGATATTAGAGGGACAAGTGTGGCCTTGTGTCTTTTTCCCTCTGGGCCATATCTCACAGGGTAAAGGTAAATTCCTGTGTTGGTTTAAAGATGAAAAGGGTGAAATAGCCAGGGCTCAGATTCCTAACTGTGTTCAGACATCCTGGCAAGTCCTCCAAAAGTGTAGAGAGAGTTGCATGTGGCCAAGAAATGGGCGACACCAAACCTCAGAGCCTCAGGGTGGATCACTGGTAGGTGTCAGGAAAGAGCAAAACGTTTTATTATAGGACTGAGGGTGGCATAGATGTGACGGTGGATGACAAAGGACCTGGAGGAACTCTGAAGCTAGATCAAAGGCATTGCATTAGCGTAAGTACTGTGAAGTTTCTCACGGGGGAACCAGTTGGAACATTAAGGCCAGGTGGATGAAGACTAGTCATCCACTTGTGTGAGACACTCACAGGAGAATTTTACTTTCTGCCATTGGGCAGCCAGGTCTATCAAAACAGAAATTGATTGTTGGCTCGGCGACCATAGCACAGTGGTTACTGCACCAGCCACATACACCAAGGCTGGCAGGTTCCAGCCCTGCCTGGGCCTGTTAAACAATGACAACTGCAAATACCTTGCTAAAAGGAACATATTAGTTTGCATTCCTACCAGCAGTGTAGAAGTGTTCCCTTTTTTCCACATCCATGCCAACATCTCTGGATTTGGGATTTTTTATGATTTAATAAAAAACAAAACAAAACAATGACAACTGCAATAAAAAAAAATAGCTGGGGTTGTGGTGGGCTCCTATAGTCCCAGCTACTTGAGAAGCAGAGGCAAGAGAATCGCTTACATCCAGGAGTTTGAGGTTGCTGTGAGCTGTGACGTCACAGCACTCTACCAAGGGCAACATAATGAGACTGTCTCAAAAACAAAAGACAGAAAATTGATTGTTTTTAAACAAAGACAGCTTTTCCC